AAACGGATTTCACGTCAAAGAAAAATTCTACAAAATGACAAAATTTAATAGGTTATTCTTCTGTATTTCGGTACCATTAGATCGCAATACATCAACGACAGAGCTCCATCCCACCATGCCACACGTGATAGAAAGCTCAGCGTTGAAAAAACTCGACGCTGTAGGTGGGACCAGACCCCAGGTGTTGCTCCCCACCAATAGAATGAAGCTAATTAAAAAAAAATAAAAAAAATCAGATCAATCATACTTCAAACACTGTCAACTAGAAGCCTAGTAGAAGGTGGTAGTACAACAAGGGGAGTACGGGATCACACACTTAAAACGTAGGTATACCTGTGTTCCCTGCCTCCAGAACCCCACCAAGGCTCCAGCGGAGCTCCCGCAATCGGTGGGTCAACCCCCCACATGGCCTTTCATGCGGTCTTGTGGGTTGCAATCCCACTTCCCGCCTTCCTCTCTCGAACATCAAACCAGACTGAGAGTAAAAAGGGGTAGAGATAGGGGTTTCAGACTCTCAAGATTCAGAAAGTCTGTGGAAGCGTCTATGAGACACCCACGGCCTAGGCCGTGGGCAAATCGGTTGCTGCAGCCGGGGCCAATGAGGCCTACCTCCCGGCCCGTTTTTTGGGTATTTTGTTTTTGGTCAAAAAATAAGTAAAAATAAAATAATGAAGGGGAAATTGCTCCTGGGTCACAACTTCAGTTCAAAATAGGCAAGAAAAACACAACGTCGCAACATCAACATTGTCCAAGTTCAAATACTTGGCAAAAAAAACTTCAGATGGTAGGCATACCACGGCTGTAGTTCGTACGAGGCATAAGGAGCACAAAAATTTTGGCTGCCCTTGGGCCCAGATGAGGACGAACCGGCCTGCAATGCCCTGTGGAGACCAGCTACTGGGACCAGTGGAGAGTGTACCATGGAGCCCAGTGGAGCCCACCTAGCGGCGCCACAAGTTCCGTTACCAGTGGACGCGCGACAATTTCGAAAGCAGGCCCGAACTTGTTCCTTGCGAACATGTGGATGTGGGGAGAGAGAGAGAGAGGGTGGAAATGGGCGGTGCCGGAGAACGGGCGGAATTAAACGCCGTTCAACCCGTCTAATGGGTCTGAGGACCCCCGTTGAATCCCGTTTAACGGAAAGACGAGGGTGTCCCGTTGATTTTCGAAAAACGGAATTGGCGCTTCGGGCCTCGGACACGTGGCCCTATGTGCCCAAACACTAAAAACGGGAAAAAGAAAAAAAAAATGACCCCTATTAACAGGGTGGGGTGGCCAAACATGGCCCTCCCTTTCGAACGCTGTGAGCACGTGTCTGCATGTGGGTTCATGTCCTTTTTTTTTTTTTTTTTACCAAATGCTCCAATCTATTCGTCCAGTCTCATTTCCGAACGGCCTCTACATATTAGCAAGGACCCCTCGTGGAGTAGAGATGGACATTGGACTTGTAATCTGTCTGCGTGGGCCGAGAATATATACTCTGGATTCGGATTCAGGTCTGTGCATCACACTGAGCACAGTTATGGGTCACTAATTCTCTGTTTTTTTTTTTCTTTTGTTT